AAGTCCAATGGGTCTTTACGGATCTGCGCCGCCGACTTTTCCACAGGCCTCAACAATGCCCTAGACCTCCACCAGTACCCACTCCCCCTGCCCGAAGATATTTTTGCCACACTCACTGGCGGTCAATATTTCTCACACATTGACTTTGCTGACGCCTACCTTCAGATCGAGATGGACCCAGAATCAAAGCAGCTGGTAACAATCAACACTCATAAAGGATTATACCAGTACAACAGACTACCCTTCGGCGTCAAATCGGCTCCAGCCATTTTCCAACAAATCATGGACACGATGTTAGCTGGCTTGCATGGAGTCGTAGCCTACCTTGACGACGTCATCGTCGTTGGACACACCGCAGAGGAGCATGAAAAGAATCTCCACGCTGTTTTCAAACGCATTGCAGAATGCGGACTCCACGTACGCTTGGAAAAGTGCCACTTCGCCTCTTCCCGTATCAACTACCTTGGCTATATCATAGACAAGCATGGCCGTCGCCCCGACCCGAAAAAGATAGAGGTTATCAAACAAATGCCGTCTCCGAAAGACGTGTCCCAACTTCGATCCTTCCTAGGACTCCTTAGTCACTATGGAAGCTTTGTCAAAGAAATGAGAAGTCTACGTGCCCCACTCGATGCTCTACTAGCGAAGAATGCAAAATTCAAGTGGACCCGAACGTGCGAAGAATGCTTCAATCGAGCGAAGGAGATACTCACGTCAGATCTTCTTCTTGCCCACTATGACCCAAGCGAAGACATCATTGTAGCCGCTGATGCTTCGAATTATGGCTTGGGCGCAGTTATTTCGCATCGATACAAGGATGGTTCAGAGAAAGCAATCGCTCATGCTTCTCGCTCACTTCTTCCAGCCGAGAAAAATTACAGTCAAATCGAGAAGGAAGCGCTTGCGATAGTATTCGCCGTCCAAAAATTTCACAGAATGCTCCATGGACGCAGATTCACTCTGCTGACAGATCATAAACCTCTACTTACCATATTCGGTTCAAAGAAAGGAATCCCTGTTTACACTGCGAATCGACTACAAAGATGGGCGATAACATTACTGGCGTACGATTTCAACATCCAGTACCGATCAACAAGAAACTTTGGCCAAGCAGATGCCCTCTCACGCCTCATTGCAACACAGTCCGCTCCAGAAGAGGATCGAGTAATTGCCGCTATTTCTGTTGATGACGACATCTCACAAACACTTGCCAACACAATTCGAGTTCTACCGGTCACAGCTCAAGAAGTTAAAGAATTTACAGCAAAGGATCATCTCCTCAAACAAGCTATCAGCTATATAGAAGGATCATGGCCTACAAAGATAACCGATCCACACTTGCTGTGCCTATATAATCGCCGTGACGCACTCTCAACAATTGATGGATGCATTTTACTATCAGACAGAGTAGTCATTCCAGCATCGTTGCAGCCACGAGTCCTTCGACAACTGCATAATGGACATCCAGGAATCGTTCGCATGAAAGCTGTAGCACGCAGCTATGTCTATTGGCCAGGTATTGACCAAGACATCGAAGACACCGTCCGCAGATGTACTCGATGTTCAGCTGTCGCCAAACTTCCAGTCAAAACAACACTGGCATCATGGCCTCAACCCGAGAAGCCGTGGACTCGTATTCACATCGATTACGCAGGACCATTCCAAGGAACATACTTTCTAGTGATTGTGGACGCTTTCTCAAAATGGCCAGAAATTTTCAAGACGACTCGCACAACGACAGAAATTACCATTGCTCTCCTTCAACAAACCTTTGCCAGATACGGGATTCCAGAAACCATAGTTTCAGACAACGGTACACAATTCACTTCAGCCGAATTCAAGAGATTCTGCACAAATTATGGAATCCAACATCTATTTTCACCGCCCTATCATCCACAATCCAATGGACAGGCCGAAAGATTTGTCGACACTTTCAAGAGGACGCTTTCGAAGCTCAAAGGAGAGGGAAGCTTAACAGAAATTCTACAAACCTTCCTTCTAAGCTATCGATCGACTCCAAATTCGTCTTTAGATGGGAACAGATCTCCGGCAGAACTTTTCATAGGACGCAAATTGCGAACCGTACTCTCGCTGCTCAAGCCGATTCAACAGCGGACCTCAAGACACAACACGATGATGGAATCACAATTCAATAAGCAGCATGGCGCTAAGAAACGTACTTTCAGCACAGGAGATTTAGTGCTAGCACGCCAGTACAGTGGAAACCATTCCAGATGGCGTAATGGTAAAGTGCTTCAACGAATCGGAAGAGTACTCTACAAAGTTCTCATTGGAAAGGAAACTTGTGTTCGACATGCAAATCAACTCCGGCTTCGCTACCATGAAGATACCTCCGAACAAGATGATATGGAAACATTATTCGAAATGTTTGATCTGAATCACGAGTCTCCAGCTTCACTGCAGCCGACGGCAGGCTCACATGGACAAGACGGGGACCAGTCAAGAACACGGGCTAATCTCAATCAACCAAGAAGATCGACACGGATGAGCAGGCCTCCAGCACGGCTTCAACTGGATCCACGTCAGAAGACATACTCTACCTGATACATTGTGATCTCAAAAAAAAGGGGAGATGTTATGGATGAACAATAAATGATCTCTTTTGTATCACTTGTTTTCGAGTTCTCTCGAAAACATCTCCCCTATATAAGCCTCTGACCTTCAGTATGGTTTAGTTTATGAACTCCGAATAAAGCTACATCTTCTGCACGGCTACCGACATAACAGTGAACATCAGCAAGCGCGACGGAAACTCTCGCATTACGGTCAACCATTGTTCCTGCTTTGATATAACTTTCATGTAAGCGTTCTACAAAGGTAGAACAATGAGACATGAAGGAGCGCGAATAGGACGCGATCTTATTCGCTAGCGTTCAAGCGTGCTGCAATCATCGCTAGCGAAGAAACTTACGCGTGTCTGCCTCTTGCACGTTCGTTCTACTACTTTACATTATATTAGAGATTGTTAGGGAGACATCACGGGGGAGGGAGAGCTGACACTGATGCAGATTTTCCACGGCAGTTAGCAGCTTTGGAGTCGCGGTCACGGCGAGATGCACCGGTTTCTTGGCGTGGAAATCCAGACCAACAAACCTGGCTCGCCTGATGGCCGTCAACCACGTCCAGAAAGAAACCCCCTCGCTGGGTTGAAAACTTTCGATGCCCAGAAGTTGTAGAAATACTTGCACAAAACGGCACGGCACCCGGGAAAGATTAGTTGGATGACATGGGCTCTGGTAGAGGGACAAGGGGGAGCTACCTTGGGTAAGAGGGTCAGCAGAGCACCTCTGCAAGGACCATAACAAAAAGAAACATGGCAATAAGTTTATAACAAATAGTAAAAATAGATGGTAACAACTTACTATCGACGTGTTTCACCTCCACTTTTTCGCCAAAATATTTGGTGAAAAGCTTCAGATTCCCCTCCATGGTAGCCGACATCAATATCACCTAAACATTTCAGCATAAAGGGTAAGCTAGTGGAAATAGTTCAAAGGGTCAAACACCAAGGCCTCTAGAAAATAGCCTCGATTATCTTGTACAAAGGAATACATATAACAATGAGCTTTTTTTTAATATTCTGACTGAAAAAAAAAAACTAAAGCAACTAATAAACACATATAGTAGGATAAATTGTGGTACGGCTGTTGAATTTCACCTTCAAATCATTTCGCTTTTTCAAGGCCTGTTTCAGCGCTATCAACAAGTAATCGGTATTCTGTTCCCGCTCATGTATCTCATCCTGAAAATAATTACAATAATTTTGAAAAATGAATCTGATGCGTAAATTTTCCATTAAGAAGCGCACATATTTATTTGAGAAAAGGGAGCACTAGGTGCAGTGACCTAAGGCCATTTGGAAGCTAACTGCGCAACACTGTCAACATCACTTAATCCCAAGTTACCGACAAAGAAGGTACAAAAAAACGTCGTGATAGCCACGTGAGCCAGTCGAACAACAACTTTGATAAAAATAAAAAAATTTTTAAGCATGAGCGGTAAGCTGCACGCTACTGACTACACGTTGCGTGATGTATGCAAGTCATACTAAAGGGTTTCCCCTCCATGTTTCCCTATCTTTCCCCATATTTCCGCTACTATACAGCGGAGGCAGCGCTAAAAGTTAGATACACCTTGCAGTTCTCAGATCTCTCGAAATTCGCGGGATTAGATACATATCCCGGTTGCGATACCCTCACGCATCCTCATGAAAGAAAAGACAAAGAGAGAGGGAGGAAAAATGATGGGTGAAAAATACGCGCCGCAGACCAAATATCGTGGTCACCGTAAATCGCCGATAACAGTCATGTATCTCATCGGGTTGACAACAATGAACGCTTTCTCATGGACAAAAGGCTCCAAAGCATTTCAAGGAAATGGCGAAAACGGTAACTCACCAGAATGATGTGGGATATATCACGCGCTGCATCATCTTGCGTTAGCATTCTCAGCAGAACACCACTTGTACAGTACGTGAGGACAGTTTGAGGCGAAGTCCTGAGAACAAAACTTGGCGCTTCTAACAATAAAACAAAAATAGAATCGAAGGCACCTCCAAAGAATCAAACGGAAAGAAGCGCGAATGCCAGGATTCAAAATGGTATCGAAATGTCCTGTATGTAAATAAAAGCAAACCTCTGCTCTAGGCGAATGTGATAGCCGACAGTGGAACCAAGGCTTTCTCCACGCTCTCTAGCAACACGATTTGCCACAGCGATTGCTGGTAGCCGACGCGGTTGAGTACATACAATTCGCAGTGGCTGATTATTCTCCGATGCATGCTCCAGCAAGAATTGTGGCACCTGAACCTTCTGTTTAAAAGAACACAACCAAAATGAAACGAGATCAGCACGCTACCTCTTTCAAAGGAACGGAGGGACTACTGAGATAGGCCATTCTTATTCATTTTCCCATATTTCCACAAATATACAGGACGTAAAAGTAGGTCACAAGCCGGAAACGAATGGCGACGCACCGGTGGGCAGGCCAAGGAATGCCACGAATAATAAAATCCTGGACATTTTTCGAGACCTATTCCGCCCACCATAGGTCAATTGAGTTGGGAATAAGCACGCATAGAACATAGAAAAATTGGAATACGATGAATATCAGACCTGTGTTGTCTTTCCACAACCAGTGCCACCCGTGATCAACACAACTTTGTGATCATTGATAGCACGAAGTACATCTTCTCGCTGCCGATATGCCGGAAGCATCTTCCTGTAAATCCGCGGAAGAACACGACGGCTTGCAAAAAAGCGAAGAGCGAAAAAGGCATTCCGTAAAAAGGTAGATACAGAAAAGCTGGGTGTTCAAAATTGCCTAGCTACAACATTTGTGACATAAAAGGAAGTCATAATATAATAGCAGAAAATTAGCATACCGCTGTTGCTGCATTTCCGTGCTACTATTGCTGCGTTGTGGTACAAGCATTTCGGGCCGCTCTCGGTTGCCCATGTCTCTCGTTGAGAACGATCTCGAGCTAGAACCAGAGACATTTTGCTAATACTGATAATTACTAATTGTGTTGAGAAAATATTCACCTTTGGGTGCTATGACATGTCGTTCTATGGCGGATCCATATATGGGATAATGAGAAATGAAATTCGACAACTAAAAATAACCCAGTTGAATGAGAATCAGGTTATCAATATTTGTAGTTTTCGCTATATTTGGAATTCAAAGATTTATAAGATTCATATTATGTCATTTATTATCGAAATTGTTCGAGAAACCCTGCATGCTGCCTCGAAGCGGACTAGACACTATCCTTGCAGCTAATTGGTGCAGATCTAACAACCTTGCAGCTTTCCGTCGTTAAGATATATCTGATGATAACACTTTCAAGGTTTAATCGCGTTTCAGTTCGAGTTGCACTTTCTGAGCCATAATCCCTTCATAACCATATCTATTGCGTACTGTAAACGGAGGCCATTAAGGCTTCCGCAGCGACGAGAGATCCCTCACAAAGAAGGTCGTCCAGGGTGTGGAGCATTTTTCAGAACGGTTTCTAGCACGAATAGGGGCCCTCATGTGGGCCGCAAACGGAGCGTTTTCACTTCCACTGGGCGGCCCCTGGAGGCCAATAAAAAAAAAAGGATCGGAAAGGCGATTTTCACCGGGTTTCGGTGAAAATATAATGTAGGGAAACTGATGAATGAATGATAGTAATGAGTGTGACACCTGTTATGGCGATGGTGCTACATGGAGCAAAGCTCCGACCTAAAATGCAGAATTTGGTTATCACGGGAATTCAAACGTTGAACCACTTTTTACCCTATTAGGACTTCACCGAACCGCTCAGCGAAAACTACTTTGGTTTTGTAGTCCACTCGAGAGTCCCTATGAGATGCTCCAGAAAACCGAGGTCGGGGGAAACGCGTTTTTACACCACTGAAAGACCTTCCTTGTTAGCAGCCTATACGCCCCACCCGTGGTTACCGTCCGCCGGGGAGTAGGACGTTTGATCAAGATTTCACACCTCCGTCTACTTCGCACCTTGCCTCGCACATATGCAGAGTTGCCTGTGGGATGACCTCACTTAATTGCATGCGCTGCCTGATGACCTTTCTCTGTCATTGTAAATCACATCAAAATAATTGAAAAAGCTATATTTCAATGGATGACAAAAACGGGAATTTATCGCAACAGGCGTGAATCCATGGGTTTCAATAAAATGTACGCCAAACTTGAACCACTGTACGTTCACGGATACAAAGGTATTCCCTTTTCACAAGCATCATATGAAAAATGAAGTGAGATGAGTGAAAACAGCTTGATGGAAGAACGTAAGCTGAATGAATATTGAGCTGTTAGGAAAGTTTTGTGATTTTGATTTTTCTCACTTTGAATGCTTCGATTCTGGATGACTTTCGAGAGTCTGCTGGAAAGCGCGTTCCTCGCTCCGTGTTAAACTACTATTACTTCAACCCTGACCAATTTCCCCCTTGTTTACCCGCAAATTTGGTTGGAAAAGTGTGGGAGCAAGTTGGGATGTCATCTGAGCATTGGTCCGAAATCGAACAAATGACCTTCGCCGTCTTCTTCTTTTACAGAAGTCCGTTACTTTCAACATCATAATTTAATGAATACTCCTCTTGTAATTGAATGTAGAGGGATTGTAATTTGCTTCGATCAAAATGTATTGTTTGAATCAGATATGCGCTTTTGAATTTGAGGGTCCAATCGGCGGGAAACTTTCCGAATATCCCAATACATACACAAAAAAAATTCTAAATTATTAAAAAATTTAAACTTTCCAAATATCCTAATACATCGGTCAACGATGAACTATTAGGAACCTATTTCAGCAAATAGTTATTTGTGTTTGGAATACTCTTTGCATAGATAGGTTGCTGTGTCACAAGTGTACACATCGTTGACCACCTCCAGGGAAGCTAATTCATTGAATAACACCTCAAATCACCTCACCTTATGACTTCAATGACTCTTTAATAGTTCTTCCGTTAATAAATTTGATTTGCTTTGATGTGGTTTGCTTGACAGAGAAGGGATATTAGGCAGCGCATGCAATTAAGTCAGGTCATCCCACAGGCAACTCTGCTGTATATGTGCGAGGCAAGGTGCGAGGTAGACGGAGGTGTGAAATCTTGATCAAACGTCACATACCCCCGTTCGCGCAGGGTGGCGGTCATGTAGAAAAGGTGTGCCGGTCGCCTGATCCTTACCGTCATCATTCGTTTTCTTTACAAAACATTCACTTCTAGCGGCTGCATTTTCATCTACGCACTAATTGGACCCAAGCCTGAAAGGAGTCTATGCGCTGCCCTCACCTGCACTTTTTCGCCTAAATTGTACGTTACGACCATGGCGACCTCGCACGTTGAAATTTTTTACCACATGAAGACGTAGTTCATGCAACCCCCTCCCCACCCCCTCAGATTGCACTCAATCCCTTTTACTCACGTAGCTACCCGTCGTCAGAAGCTGCGGTCAGCGCCATTCTCAAATCGTGTGCTCAAATTCACGGCAATACATTAGAAAGTCCAAAGGGAGTCCGTTAAACCACTGCATCTGAAAGCCGTGCTCAGTCAATGCGTAACTTTTACTGACATTGGGGGGGGGGCATCGCGGCAAACACGTTCGTATGACCTCTGCCTTGGAGGCTGGCTTGTCCAGATCGGAAATCGGCGAGAATGGATTCTCACCCCGAGTGTTTTAGACCAGCTCTCTTGGGGTTTTTTTTCTTTACCACTGCATCCTTACCATCTCTATTTACATTTTTAACATCAATTACTTGGAACTAACTGAACACAAGTGCTACCCTCACACATTCGATGGTACAACTTATAGTACAGAACTGACGATCACATATATGTAGTTTTGATCAAATTTTGCAATAATCGAAACTCACGGCTTCTCGAATTTCAGGAGCCAGTCGAATTGGCTGTGTTTCATTTGCGCCAACAGCGGCCAGCCGTGGTACTGGACGACGATGAACGACACACCGCCGGTTTGGCTCCCTACTAAAAATCAGACACTTAAGTCACGCTGGAGAAATCAGCTAATAATGTCACAGACCCCTCGCTCGAAGTTTGGAGACCTTTTCGTCTGGCCAGCTCGTGCAAGCGACGTCGCTCTGGACGTTCCATAGGAGGGAAGCACAATTCTGAAAACTGTGTTATGACCTTGAACATTGTGCAAAACGGGTGTGAAGAAAGGCAAGAAAATACTCAGTTTTTTCATACAAAAATAAAGCTTTTGTTGAAAAAAGATCCTTAATTAAGGTGTTACCTGTTGCACTTCCATTCAAGAACTCATCCAATTTCGCCGTCACTTGTCGTTCCCAATTCGCATCGATCAACTGCACATGTGGACCATATTGAGGATTTTTAAACCTTAAATATTCCTGTCACTTGGAAAATGACAAACAAAATATCAAAAAACTGGTCACCGCCCTGAGATAGCTCAAATCGAGTAGGCTGAGAGTGGCAGTTATAGACTGGGCAACAAAGTAGACATTGAGAATGTAATAGGTTGTCCATGAAAGCTGGGTCCTGCGTCCAAACATCACACATCTACTCTATCTCTTACAGGATGGCTAGTAACATTCAAAGTCATATTCCTCCTGTTCATGATTATCTGAGCGGCAAGCCTAACGCTTAATAGAGATGGGGAACTTTTTCTATAAAAAGTGGAATTTTCTACGTCTTTCCTTTGTTAATTTGGCACATAATGTGACCGCGCTGACGCTATCGAGGTTTTTAAGTCACGAAGCGTAGTCCTCAGGTATGACTGGTGCGATTATAATATGCCAGACTAAAAGCACTAGATGAGAACCACATCCCTGTCGGTGGAGGTTGGATAAGGCCAATACGAGATTTGACAAAGGTTAGGGCCGACCATACTTTGCGAATCGAACGGTTCGCTAGCAACCGCGGTCACCGTCGTGAAATTTCTCGATTCGCAAAGCCTGACATCGGCCTTACGGCTGACCCAGATCCGCCTAGCCAAATGCACTGTCACTAAGCCAAAGCTACTTTGTTTTCTTAGAATGAAATCAACAATTTCAAAAGGATATGAAAAGTATAAAAAGCAATACCAAGAAACTCTTCAAACGTTTCACTCACCCATTAGGTTCATCACGATCAAAATTGCTATGGTGGTTTCTCGTACGTCCTTTACTATGATTTCCATAGAAAGCCATAATGGCTTCCGTTGCTTCCGGTAGTCGTACGCACCTGGTTCGACTAACCTGCTGGAAGCAACGTCCTGCAACAGCGCATTAGCTGCACCAAGACACAATGAACAACAAAGGGACAATTAAATACTTCTTCAGCTAGAAATTCGTATTTTTCAAGTAGCCTTGAACGTTTTACGTCGCCACAGTGCAAAAAAAAAAACGTTCAAAAAAATAGGCCACCAGCAAAAATACAAAGTTCGTCAAAAATCGAATAAAATTCACTACATGGCGAAAATAAATAAGAAACAGAGATAGAAGCGTTGGAATCAAAACGCACTCGCCTCAAGAGTGACAACTGGACTGAAGTATTTATCAAACCCTGAGAGTGGCAAATAAAATAAACAATACCCATACATAGACCATACATTAATTGAATACGACCAAATAAACACTTGAGGTAACCAGGCAAATACAAAAAAAGCCCGCACATAGGAAGAAAAGGTAGGATAAATTCTTGATAAAAATCTCGCGCTTTTACATCTATCACTATGCTATACACACAAAAAGACACAACAAGGAGAAATCTGAGCAGGGCTAACAGAAGAGTCTATTTCTACCAGCAAGATTTTATTTATAGCAATAGCAATGATAAGGTCTAATATAAACCGATCTCTTCTACACAGCAGTCCCTTTCATGGAGAGCGTAATTCAAGAAGGAATGCTGCTGAGGTGCTCTATTTGATCCCAAATTTCAAACAATATATGGACTAGTCCCACTTGATTGATCTCATACCATCACACTGTCATACTGTCAAAAGTTTACGAGCCAGATGGAAGCCATACCGATTTCAAGCACCCAATAAAATTGATTCGAAACATTCTACCATATGAAGGTTTTCTTGGTATATAAAAAAGATGGCCTACCAGCTGAAAAATCATACTATAAATCATGGAAAGAAAAGTAGAGCGGAGCAGGCCGTACAGTATACCAAACGGTGAAGTTAAGCATTACCGGATAGGGCAAAAAACACGTGAATCCCGAGTAAATAATACAGAAAATCGGTCAAGAAGACGAACATAGGATCCTCTTGTTTTTATCTGACAGTCGCTAGCCCTCTACCGCCCAATGGCAATGAGAAATTCCAGTCTTTGCTCCAACCATAACTACAGGCTCTCGCTGGACATATTTGTCGTCTGACCGGCGGCGAACATAAAATGATGAAAGGAAATGAAAAGGAATGGAAAAGGGTATACCTCGACCGGGAATAAAAATGTTACTCTAAAAACAGAAGAAATACAACAAACCCAAAATGCATGAGAAATAAAAGCACAACTAGATCCTAAAATGTGGTGTATTCGCCCACAACGGTGGATATGAGCATGTGACGTCACCGAAATTACCGCATCGCTCTACTCGCACAAGCACCTCGTCACCGACATTCTCACGATACAACTGTGCCAGTTCTTCAATTGCACGCTCCTCGTCCTCGATGAAGTGCAACGGTCTCGATACGCGACGAGTCCCTTCAATTGTAAAGGAATATTATATATGCCGACGCTATAGCATCTAGAGATCTCTCTTATCCTCCTCTCATACTTGAAGATGAAAACCGCAATAAGTGGGCTGTTATGAGAAAGAGAAAGATAGCCAATGGAGAGATTAGAGGATTGGCGCAAGTAGAAGTAGCGTATTCGCCGCAGAAGGATCGCGGTTAAAGGTGTGGTAAGGCACCGAAGGCACCTCAGTAACCCCTCCACCTCTCGGACACACCCACCGTCGGCAAGTGGATGGGATGGCAACGGCAAAAAATTCGAAATGAAACCGTTACGATTACGATGTTCTTCTTTAAAGGCAAACCCCGGGATTAAACTGGTGCTATTAGCGCTTCGTAGTGATAGCTTAGCTGCGGAACGACCTGAAAGTGGAAGGAAAGCAAGAGAAATCTTTGGGAACGCTGATAAGGCCTTAACCTTCAGTAAGGTCGGATGTGGTACGATGGCGAGACAGGGCGGTCAAAGAAGACAAAATACGCGAGAGAGCACGTCGTTTGAGAGAGCACGCTGATCTCTACATCAATGCACGCTGATCTCACCACTCTCGCGGTGGGTGGGAAGCGTTGGAACGGGGTCGATGGTTGCAGGCCCGTAAGGATTAGCGCCCTAACCGCGCAATTTTCGCGACGAAGCTGGAGTGATCTAGGTAGGTACGGACCTTACAATTTCCCTCGTGGTATCCCTCCTACTAGTCGGGCTAATCCCGGGGTTTGCCTTTAAGTGTTTTGTTGCACCGGTCATCAGATCAGAAATTACCGACGCACCAGACTGCACTCTTGCTTGATCTTTTTATCGCCACAGAGTTGCACTCTTTTTTGATCTTTTATCGCCATTGAAAACTGTCGCGGTATGCTGTTTTGGTAGTTGAACGATGAATTGATATTGTAGCAAGGGTAGAGCGAGTGCTCCACATGGCAAAAAAAAAAAGTATTCAATCCGGAGCTATTCTAATGGTACTCTCTCTTTAGGAGAGAAGAAAATCTAACCGCGAAAAAAAAACACACACACAGCCTAACCACATTCCTACGAGTACTCTGATGCATACCTTCTTCTTGAGTCGGTGTTCCTCTTCCTTAATGATTTCCGCTAATGAAAGCTTTTGCGGAGACGAGACAGGTGAGGACGATGGAAGAGTCTGAACACATGAACAAATAAATGTATAGAACAGATAGCATTCAGCAGAAAAAATCCAAGAGTTTCGCGGTCACCAGTATAAACGCCATGCATTGTTGTCTACAGTTCAGTGTCGCTGACGGCGAGCTCATCCACCAGCCAATCATAGGCCGAATTCGCCACCTGGAGGCGTGGCTTTCCGCCGCGACAGGCGGCAGCCCCTCTAGGATTTGGCACACTTGTGATAGCATTATGCGCGCCAACGTGGTGCGCGCCAATAAGCGTGCACATTCCGCCATTAAATGGTCAAGGGCCTAACTCCTCCACTGGACTGGGCAGTTTTTCTCTCTCCAAATCTCAACAACGTAGCACCTGCCTTTTTATTAGGTCGTGAAGAAAGAAGTTCTTGCGCTTTTCGGTGTTTCGTTTTTGAACGCTTTATTTTGTTACGAATTCAAGCAAGCTGCCAATGAGCTGTATGTGGTTTTGAAGAGCTTTTCTTGTTCTATCTAACAGCTAGGCTAGCTATGTTCCTATTATTTAGTTGTCATTTTTTGAAGCCTTGAATACGGCATACTCCAAGAGCAAATTTGCATGATTTCCTTTTTCTAGCTCAAAGCAGGCCAGTATGGAGAGGGCAGGTCAAGATATTATAGACGCACTTGGCTGAGATTCGCAATAAATATGGTCTGAAGCAATTGTTCAAAAAGCTTTTGTAAGAATAGCGAGAGCCCTAAATATTGTGAGGGTGGTGATCGGAGATTGACAACGCCAACAATTAGTCGAGCGTTCTGGTTGAAGCACGTTTGCACAAATCTATTGAGAGGGTTCCTCCTAAACTAATCGCACTTGCATTGTGTTTTCTTGTTGTACGGGAAGAGCTGGAAAGTCCAAAAATTCAAATAGGGCGTGCCGCGACAGCTCACCATTTTGAAGGGTCGTTCGCCGCGTTCTAGCTTGTTTCATGCCATGAAAACGACCTGACTTTTTGATCATTTGCGACGCACGACAAAGAACGGATTCTTTGCTACAGAATACGAACCTTTGGTGAAGTGATCGACCGCGATCAGGCTCTACAAACTTTGCAAAAGTGAAACTTCAGTGTGAGGGAGGTTGAGGTAACTTTCATAGGGTCAGCGGCTGGTCTAACTTTCGTAACCAGGTGTGATCTGTTAATGTGGAAAAAGTACTCCTGATAATGTGTAAAATTACTCCTAGAACTCTGGCACATATGCTCGAAATTCCTCATTATAAAGGAACCGGCTCGTCCCTGACAGGTAGCTCGGACGCACATTCCACAACCAACCCTGCAGAAGTTCGACAAGATTGGCTACGAATTAGTCCTACTCGATAGACCTTTTGCCTATAAATTGTCACTTTCTCGACTACCTGGATAGCTTCTCCAAAGAGTTATGCTTCAAAAACCAACATGATGCGGAAACGACCTCCGCCGGGTTCATCGTCTCTAGAGCTCCAGTATTCTGCACTACCGGGCTGATTCAACGCAGCTATTATTGGCAGAGGTTTGTGGATTCTAACAGTCTTTACTCCAATCAAAAAGGTTTCGAATGAGCCGAGATACAGGCATTTGAAAATCAAGGTCCAAAAGCGCAAGAACTTTCTTCACGACCTAATATTAACATACGAAGTATTTGTTTCACGCTTTTGGTGTTGGTTATTGTGAAAAAGCAAATGTAAGCCAGGGGATGAGGATTTTCAGAAGCGGAGTGGGTGAGTAAAGCTCCCATTCTCTAGCTCAGAGGGAAGTTTAACTGCCCGCCTAAAAGCTCTCTCATCATCACAAATTCACACATTTATAACGGAATTGGGTGTTTTTAATTGTCTTGCGGTAATTGTCTTCCACTTAACCCCATCCACAAGCGCACCCGCTTTCGCTTTCTTCACCATCCCACTCACAACGTTGAATGGGATGGTGAAGAAAGAAACTCTCAACGCACGGTGTTACATAATAGAAAACATAGTAATAGCACATAATAAAAGATAATTGTGGGTCAATACGAGGTTTGCCAGTCAAACGCCGGTGCGGGCGCGAAACCCCCTGTTGACGATCTGGCGGGACCTGGCGGGAAGAGCCCAGGAGGGGGTTCGGAGAATTTTACTTTTCAGATATCTTGGACCTCGTGGCCCGTGCGCCCGACCCTCGCCTACCTCCCTGCAATCATTTCTATTGCTTCGTTTGATGTCTCTGTGATTCGATTTCTATTTGTTCGTGTTTAATACGTTTTTTTTAGATAAAACTGTTGTTCATAAGACTGAATAAAGTTGTGGAACAGGTCCACCACCCGCCATACTTTGTTGGACCGATTATAAGGGGCAATCAAACCCCACATAATATGTGTGATGGCTTCAAGTTAGACACAACCCACCTCTGTCCAAGATACGTTTGTCGATGTACGTTTACGCTGAGCGTGGTCATGTTCTTGTTTTGACGGTAACGTAGCACTCTTTGACTGCTTCACAGTTTCCGCTTCTTTCTTCAAGATCTCCGACAGCGGCACCACATCAGGTTTTTGTTGAGTCGTCGTGACTCCAGCCCTATTAGTAAACAATTGAAAAAACGCAATAAACCTTACTACAAATAGAGCACTATCTCGTTTGTCTATTATGAGATTGAGCAAAGAATCCCATCGAGAAGCTGGGGCAAAGCTGTGACTGGGATGCGGCGGGAGCGTGCGCGAGATGCATGAAACATACAAGGATTCTCACCAGCAGAAGTGTGATGCCTTGTTTCTAACAGGAGAATCAGGGAAATGCGGGCGGGACCTGCTCTCAGATGGATGGTGTTTGGATTTGACGTAAGGCTTCAGGATTCCCTCAATATAAGCTGAATAAAAATAAATGCTATACAACTCACCATGGTGCAAAATGAGTCCCTCGTTCCGTTTCGCAAAGCAGACTGCTTGCATCACGGAACTTCGCCCCCTTCGGCGTGAATCTGCCTGCACCACGTTTCTTTGACGAGATCACAGACTCTTCCAGCAAAAGTGGTGATGAAATAGGTGAAGGAGTGGGAGAAACAGTGACTTTCCAAGCTGATGGCAGAGCGGATGACACTGGTTTCTCTACTTCTTTGACGTCTCCCGAATGATGTGGCGAAGAACTATCGCGCTGAAAGAACGTTCATCGTTAATAGAGAAGTTTCTAGATAGCAATATTAAAAAGGAATGAGTGATTTATTGAACTTCCTTTTGGTTGTAGCTTTTGCTTTACAGCAAGCCGTCTCAATCTACTGGCCTATTTTTAACTTGCTTTCCCGTCTGGCGCTTCCGAGAATCTCGCGTTTATCAAGCCGAAAGTCCCTGAACGGCCTGAGCCTCTGACGGTAGGGAGCAGAGATTAGAAGGCGGCACAAGGCGGAAGGTTACAAAACCACCATTTCGAAGTTTCTACAACGCTTCCGTCATCAAATTTCAGTGCAGTAATAAGCTATGTATTTCCCTATATGACTCGCTCAAATAAATTTGAAAAAAAAATTAAATTCATTCGAAGTACTGGACCGGTGAAACGTGGGTGTAATGGTAAGCCCTGCTATATGTGCAAAACAGGGATCAAATCCTCGATCGCCCATCTCCTCCGGGAGTCGGTTATTTAGTACATAGACTCATCTGCAGAGAAAAATACTGATTTTCACATCAGCTATGCCTCACAAGTCATTGTGCAAACGAAATCGCATTCAAAATGTACTTACGTTCTGAAGGAAAGGGAGATTACAGGCGCAATCCTTGAGTCGACGATCATCGCGATATTTCATTCCCATTCTGGTTCACAAACATTACAATAAAATCCTCACCAAGCGGAGACAACAAGCACGGTAGAGAACTTGTGAGTGGGCGTAGCATCCGAAGCATAGACTTAGCGCTGCGGGAAAACGAAAAATGCGAGAGAGGGCACGTGGAGGCGAAAGTGCATACATTATACGTACGCAGCGATTGATAAGAATGGCAGCGGTCGCAGCGGTCTCGCGAAGACATTAGTCTCGCGAGACTTTATCCATCTCCAAGGATCTAATCAGGACCGCGCTTAACAGAAGGAACATCGCTACAACTGAAGGCATGAATCCCACAATCAACACTACCATGCGCGATTCCACTGAAAAGCGCAGCGGAAGGCGTATTTGGCCTGCTACTAGCTTTTGTAAAGAACCATAACCACTGTACTAATCCTTTCAGCCACATGGCGACAACTTACCGACCTCGCATGACGAGGTTTGGTTGGCTTGCTCGGCATTTCAAATAAGTTGTTTTTTCAAGCCATCCGTGTGAAAAAACATTTGCACCTTTCCCTTGGCGCCCATAAAACGATATAAAAGTAAATATGACACAAAGGAATGTAGAAAAACATATTGAAGGGACCAAATTTAGACAGAATAAAAGACCGGACCTTTCATAGAACACGCTCTCCACTTATGGGCTAAGAAACAGATATCGTATTCATTAAGACCTGTAAGCGTTTGAAGGTGATGAAGGTTCTATTAAGTAGTGAGCGAAACACCCTTTTATCATGGTTGGAATCTCTCAACCCCGCAACTACCGACACGATGCGGGAATTTGCAGCGAAAACACCGCCGCCTTGCTGATCACCAACTTCGTAATCTTTGCAGTACTGGAATTCAATCACATTTAGTTCAAGTGCTACACTCGAATTCATGGTACTTTTCACGATCGTGATAGCTCTACAGTTCCTCAGCTCAGCAGGAAAACCCCTATCTGTAATGTACGTCCGACTGGGCACTAGGCATCGCCTTAACACACGACGACAATGCGAGTTTTGGCTTTTTTGGCCACGTGGGACCGAGGCGATTTTGCGGGCGCGGCCGCCTCAGGCCGTTCAAGCAGATTTTGAATGATAAATACATAAATAATGATCAATACAAAACCAGATCAGTAAATTGCAATGAGTACAACCTACCCAGGGGTACAGTAGTGGAAATTTCGATCGAATGGCATGGAATAACAATGAAAAAGCGAAATTTTCAGAACTAGCTGCAATGGACCTCAAAAGCAATTTTACGTTGATTATTTCAATCAAAACACACATATTGTCATCCCTAAGGTTCCGTATCTACTTCTACTACTATTTAAATCTTCACATTCATAAAAAGAAAAAGTAAACGAAAAATTTATTAAACTGAAGATTTCGTATGGTTCAGAAATCCTCCTCTAAATTGAAGCATACGTGACCATTCTATGGGCCACTATGTTTGTAGCTACTTTACTCAAGGTCTCTCTTCCTGGTATAAATACAAGGAACTCTGAAAGTGTCAGGTAATCGTGCGCGAACAAATTGAGCGTAAGGCGTGCGGGGTATATTAATTCTCCGCACGGCTGCAATGCGTCCTTGGGACACTTATCCCCGCGTTGTCGTCAATGTGTTAATAAGGGAAGATATACATGTACAGAACCTTGGACGGAGCTGTCATTCATAAAGTAATGAATTGTCTCCCATAATCTATATTTCACGGCTGATCAACCTGTTGTTGCGTTTCAAATTATTTCGCTATAAGGGAATTTGGCAATGACAAGCAGTTCCATGGGAAATGAGTTTAAGGATTGAACATCAGTGGATTTAACAAACGAATAAAAGCAAGAAAAGGCCATAGAGCACGACGAAATGGTGACTTCGCATTTTCTTGGCGTTAATTTCTCATTGATTGCGACTCTCATCGCGTGCTGCCCTATTTCATTGCCCAACGCTCTCTCTCTTGTCAACGTCTAGAAGGTCCAGACACTTTTTCGGACCTTACGCGAGAGGGGACCTACCGCTTCTACGGCGCGGCCATGCTGGATCGTCGAGGGCATACTTCGGTGCGAATTGTGTGTCTCTCCGCACCCTTAGGAGCTCTCCTTCTTCAACCTTCGTCCTTATCGTGAAATCCTCCTTCAATACTTCTAATCTAGGTCATATTTCGATACTGACCGATCATCAGGTAATTTCAACACTTCGATTTCATCGGTACAGGTCTTGTGGAAGAATCCCACAAAAAGGAAATATGTAAGCTAATAAGCACCAGGTGGAGTTCCGGTCAACGCTTGCATTCCTCCGAAGGAGATACGACAATGATACATTTTCAACAGACAGACATTGGAGACATTTGGGCTCAACCAATCATACTGCTAAAAATTTCAACCCTTTTACATCTTCTATAGGGCCGAAATAACGCTAACATAGAAGTTATATCGCTAAAAAGGAATAACATTCTGTCGAATGAAAAAAGTGTGTCATCACACAGAAATGCAAAACAACGATAGAATTGAGATTTGTCATTTCCTGCGTCCATATATGCTTAGCAACAAAGAGAGAGAGGAACTTGTACGAAGAAACGCACGCAGGCAAGACCCGTGGAGCTGATCTAACAGGGAAAGTCTCTTAGGTCGCCACAGCCATTCAAGATGAGATGCATACTGTTATGTGCGCCTTCGAATACTGATGTCAGATCTGCCTTCCGAATTTTCTAGGCCTTTTCTAAGCTATTCTCCGAAGAGAGATATGAAGCTAAGGAGCGCAACGATATGGTTCTGACTCAAAAGCAAGAGCTCGAGAGATCAATTCCTTTCAGGGCTTACTCCTTTGCTTTTGTCCGCAACATTTCTAATAAGGCTTTTGTTAACATTAGTTTATCTTGACAGCCATTTGCCCATGGCTGCTCACAGCACCAAGACTCATATGCCAGGCGCTTTTCCGTAGGTAAGGCATTTGGGTTAACGAAGTCAAATCATTTACAGGAGCAATATTAGAAAATCTGAAATTTTAATTCTACTTTTAAGGTGGAGCGGTCATTTGTCCATCAACGTGTAACGGAAGCTGGTCTTGGGATGAAATTACATTTTGAGACATGAAAAGAAAAGTAGTGCCTGGTAGGATTATCACAGGATTTACCTGGCAGTATTTCCATTTAAAGCTTGAAGTTGTAGATGTAGGTAGTACGGTATTAGGGGCGGAGTATAAGGACTTACGACAACACTTCTTCAAAATTACAAGGAAATCCCAAATTTGACTGCAAATTTGCCTGCGGAGGAAACTGGACCCCCTGATTACGAATATTTATTTATTTGATATCCCACTTGTTTCGCACAAAAGCTCATCGTGTGTGCGATACATGCACAAAAGACAATATAAACTATTGTATTGGTGTTTAAATATGTAAGCAGTTGCATAAATTTCTTACTCAAAGCAATCTAAGAAACTTTCTATGATGTGAGCTCTAGATAATTTTGGCCACCTTGCGGCTCATTTACCTATCCATCATCTTACTCGTCTACTAACTGCGCCACCCGTCCACAA